TTTACTATAAGTAATATAAAAGAAGAAGACTATCTTTAATATTAGTTATAAATCTACTATAATATAAATATAAATTAAATATATAGACTAGTATAATAAGGGTATACTTAAGGTTAATAGTAGTAATAATAAGGTCTTAGGGATAGCCTTCTTTTTACTTATAGGTAAAAAGCTTTAGCTAAAGGTAAAGAGCTATAATATAATAAGTTAGTAATAAATTAATAGTAAGTCTATATATATATATATATATATATACTTATAAATATAACTTACTAGTATTTTCTATTTTTAATTATCTTTAATTAATAAAGACTATATTAGTAAAATAATTACTTTATAATAGTAATATATAGTAGTAAAAAGGATACTTATAATACTAATAAAGAAGCCTAAAGAAGAAAAAGAAAAGAGAAAAACTAATAACTAAATTATAGTAAGTAATAACTATAGGTTTAATTTTAAAGGTTATATAAGGTAAAAGGGCTAGTAAGGCCTAGAGGCTTTATTTTCCTAGGCGCTAAGGGGAGAAGAAGGCATATATTATAGGCTAAAGCTATAGTAAGTGTAGTAAGGCTTTACCTACTATAATGCGCAAGGCTAGCAAAGTAGGTGTATTTAGTTAACGCTTACTTAGTGCCTTTATTTAACCTTATATATATAAGATATATACTACTATAAATAGCCTTCTTTTCTTAGTCTAGATTAATTATATTAAGTTACTATACGCTTATTAAAAGGTAGTACTAACCCTTTATACTAAAAATATCTATTACTTATTTTACTGTTTATTACTTAAGTTAAAAATATAAGAAATATATTTTTATTACACTAATATAGTTCTATATAACTTTAGTCTCTTCTTAGCGCTTAGCTTGTCTATTTCTCTTGTCTATATCCTCTTAGACTTATATATATTATTTCTTAGGTAATATATTAGTCCTTTTATTATATTATGCTAGGTTCTTATATAGCCCTGTGTTTTCTGTCTATTTACTACTACTACTATCTACTGCTTTAGCCTAAGTGTCTTCTATAAAATATAATGCTCTACTAACTCTAGTGTATATAATTACTAGGTATAATAGCTCCTTTATATATTCTATAGATATTACTATGCGTTAAAGGGACACTAACGCTTTACTGTAAAAGGGGGCAACAGGGAACTAATCTATCTGTAGTCTATAGTATTTTGTGGTATTAATTGTAGTATACCTAATGTCTAGTGCTTTCTCTGTGTAGAAGGTAATACTGTTCTATTAGATGTCTTTATCGTTATAGAACATTACAAACTATTATTAGGGGTAACAGGAAACTAGACAGCCATATCAGCAAGGCAAGCAAGGTCAATGTCGTTATCAGTGAGCAAGAAGAAGTCTTACATACCCTTGTAGGTCCCCACCCAGTGAATCTTGCGCAGCATAAGGGCCATAGCCACAGGGTCGTCATCGCAGATAGGAATACAGGGGGCACCGCAGCGCATCGTCTCCGCTCCAGGAGTTCCAATGTGGTCGTTAAGCAGCTCGCAGAATACTAGGGACACCTCGCGGAGGATAACTATTAATACCTTGAATCTTACTCTGTACACCTATTGTATAGATATAGGGTTTCTTCCTATACCTATTTATTTATTATACTTATTAATATACATACAATGACCACTGCCTGTCTAACTGTTGCTTGATACCACTATAGAGCATATCTAGCAGGCATAAAATGGAGTTATTAGCAACATAGATAATATATATGAATCTAGTGTATCTAGATGATCTAGCGAGGCCAAAAGTTGTATATAGGTGGGTTAAGCAAGCCCGAGGAAATAAGTGGTAATAATGGTGGTGATGTAGTGATAGTGGTGGTGGTGGTGGTGGTGCACAGGATATAGGGCTGTGCAGTATCTAGGGTTAGATAGTTATCCCATCAGGGGCAATAAGGCCCTATCTCCACTTATTTCTCTGCACTACACGCATATAACAAGAATATATAACGCAATAATATTTAACTTAATATTGTTTTATATAGTAACACTACTTAAATTAATATTATTAACTATTTAATCATATCTTCTAACTCTAATACTACTAGATCTTTATAGGACTATATTAAGGTTTACCTAGAGGACCTTGCTATTACCTATACCTAAAATTAGGGTAGCCTAAGGTAAGATATCTAGGAATAGTATTACTTAAAGAAAGTCTTATTAAGGTTACTTAACTTATAATATAGCTCTTTATAAGCAGAGAAATTATTAGTACCTCTAGCATAGACAAAAATAGGCGTAAATAGAGGTACTATATATATTTGCACCTTTGTAGGGTTATACTTGGTGCCTACTGTGGAGATAGGGCCTTATTGCTCCTGATGGGATAGAGTAATAATTTATGCTCTCCACACCTGACCTCTCTACATCCCGAGTAAGGCTACCGGCGCCCATTATTTGGAATTTGGAAAGGAAGCCAAGTTCTCAATCAAATGGTGTGCAAGCTTTTAAGAAGCAAGGGCCTACCGGCGACTGTTGGCATTCAAGAAGAAATATCATCACGATCCATGCACGAGACAACAATGAGTTCTATCAATCAATCCGACCTACCTCCTCGAGAGACCTTAACTCCAAAAGAAAACCACAAGACCATGCGGTTGGGAATTGTAGGTGCTGGTATTGGGGGTCTTATGGCAGCGATTACCTTGCTAGAGGGCGGGCATGAAGTTGAGGTAGCACGGCAAGAATCCAATGACATCCACTCATCCAAGGCCAGATGTTGGAAAGTCTCAATTCAGCAAAAAAACTATTGTTGTAATGGGTTTAAAAGGGTGATAATATTGATAGAAGGGGATAGATGCGGCATTTTCAGATAGCCGAGAAATAGGGTGGGGTGGTTAGTCGCTCACACCAGGAACAATACTAAAGTACGAATACCCCACCCGGAGACTCCGGCTCTATACCTATTGCTATTAACTAGGTAAGTACAGAAAGTTAATTAGAATTGCTAAGTTTTTCATAAACATATATATATATTCTTTTAAAATTGCCCTTTAATTCAGTCCGAGGTTAAGTACTGTCGCTCCTCCTGTCGCTCGCTGTGTGACATCTTATGAACCTACTCTTCAATCTCATCTCCAACATGCGCTCTACACATCCGCTCCTTATCCTTCTTTTCTCGTTGTTATCCAGCGCATTTGCTGGTAATCCCGTTTTCTCTTATAAGGGTCTTCGGTCTACCACAGACGTATATAATGTTGAAAAAAGGAGCGATCAATTTTTCTGGGTTTATTCACCCTACTATAAGTCCAACCGCGAAGCAGTTACAAAGCTAAAATTCCCACCTGACCAACCCGACACGATAATTGTTATGGCCGCTTACAACGACAAACAACGGGTAAAGACTGGTGCTGCCCGGAAGCTACTCCTGTCCGACATAATTCCCATTGTAGCAAGCCCGAGGCACGCAGATAGGCCACTTGCATCGGTTAACTGGTTGGTCGACGAATTCGTTTTAGAAGAACCGCTGGTTCAGATTCTCGACAAGTGGTTCAATGATTGGAAGAAGAAGAACCCAGAAGCCACGCTGCCATCCGTCTTCACTCTTACCCCGTCTGACCCAGTTTGGCGAAAGCTTGAGGCCACAACATTCTTTATGGCCGTCAGCAACACGTTCCGAGAAGCCGGGAAGATTGTGACAACTATAGCCATCCGTCCATCTAGGCATTTGGCTACCTTCAGAAGCAAATCGTTAAAAGCGTCAGATCTCTGGTACCACCTTGAACACAAAGAAGAACACAAATAATCACAACGAATACTTGCGTACCTTGCCTAATGTTTCTCAAAATATAATTGTATCGAGGACTCTTATCGTAGAGAAGTGATTCAGTTAGAATATATACGATGGTACTAGGCCGAAGTAAAAGCTCCCTGTCAGGTATCCAATGCGCATCCTCCTACTATTTTAGGTATAGCCAACATTACGGTACTTTGGAACAGCCTGCCGGCCCCGGTCACACACAGCCCGGACTACAATGGAGGACTTTTCAAAGCGAGGTATAGAGGTTATAGGCTTTCATCTATACTTGCTAGACCTTAACCCTATTGAGCTATGCTGGAACTGGATAAAGGACTATATCTAGATCTATTGCGGGCATATTCAAGGGCAAATACCTCGTCAGACGTTATATGGATGGGATGCAGAGGCGTGGGAAGCCCTTCTAGACGACTATTACACGCAGCAGCTCTGCACAATGCACGATGGGCATCAGGCAGTAATTGATGTGAACGGAGGGTATACAAAATAGTGAATTTTGGCTGGGTAGATGTTACGACCTAACAAGCTACATGCAGCAAATGCCCTACCAGACCCTGGATACGCGGGCGGCATATTGATTGATTGATTGATTCATTCCTACTCGGTTATAAAGCCGCTCTTGTACTAGCATCTATGCCTGGAAAGCAAGGATTGGCTAACAGCCGACACGTTGACGATAAGCCGCGATGCTCTACTTCGCCTGGTTATTAAACTAAGGCTAGTAGTTGTTTCCAACTTCCTTGCTGCGCTATTAATCCTATATCTTTGTTCTCTCTGTAACTAAACTATACCTTTCTTACCTATAGCTACTATTAATAACTAAAGAATAAATTAACCTACTTACCTATAACCTCTATTTTCTTTATTTTTAACCTACTAAATATATTATTTTTTCTATTATTATTACTAACTTTACTACTTTATTAATATTATTAACTATAATCTATTAATATTACTATAGTAATAATACCTCTCTTTACTATAACTCTTTTCTCTTTTTTCTTATAAACCTTTACCTTTTAAGTAAAAAGAGAAGCTAGCTATTATTAGTATCTTAATCTAGTTTTAACTTATTTTAGGTAATAATAACCCTTTAAACCTATATACCTATAACTTTAAATAGTACCTTAATAAGAATAACTGTCTTATTATTACTAGCCTTTAGGTAGAAAATCCTAATAAGTAGACTAACTAGCCTAATAAGACTACTACTAACTAGGCTAGTAAATATAGCTTTGTCTTTAAATTATTTTTTACTATAGTTAACTAGTAAACCTTTTAAAACTAAAATAAAAAAGGTTAATAAAAGTAATAATAATAGTATTATAATAGTAAAAATAATAAAGATAATAATAATAAAATATTTAATATCTTTAGTATTAATAGTAATAATATTTTATTACTTAATATAAGATAATAGCTATAAGTACTTACCTAGGTAGGGCTTAATAGTAGGTACTAGTATATTATAAGACTTAAGCTTATAAAGCCTAGATAATAGGGGCTTTACTACTAAAAAACTAGATAGTAAGGTAAAGCACTAGAGGCTTAGTAACCTATTACTAAGACCTATAGCTATTACTATAAATCCTATTATAACTACTTTTCTCCCCCTTAGACTTTATTCTAAAGTTATTATATAATACTATTAGTATATAGTTAATATAGCTAAAGGCAGTAGGTTATATAATATATTACTTACTAGTAGTATTCTCTACCTTTACCTATAAGTAAAAGTACTACTATACTTATACTTTTACTTTATATTATAACTATTATTATTATAAGAGGTTAGTACTAACTTTTAATAGGTGTATAGTAACTTAATATAATTAATCTAGACTAAGGAAGAAAGTTTATTTATAGTAGTATATATATTATATATATAAGGTTAAATAAAGACACTAACTAAGCGCTAACTAAGTATACCCTCTTTACTAGTTTATATATTATAGTAAGTAAAGCCTTACTATACTTACTATAGCTTTAGCCTATAATATATACTTTATCTTTACTAGTAGTTAAAAAAATAAAGCTTCTAGGCCTTACTAGCCCTCTATTATATATAACTATAGAAATCTAACCTATAGTTATTACTTACTATAGACTACTTAATATTCTTTTTTTTCTCTTTTTTTTCTAGGCCTTTTTATTAATATTATAAGTATTTTTTTTACTATTATATATTATTATTATAAAGTAACTATTTTATTAATATAGTTTTTATTAATTAAAGATAATTAAAAATAAAAAATACTAGTAAGTAACTTTTATAAGTATATTATTAGTAACACCAAGGGATAAGTTAATATAGTTAACTATATATATTAGTAGTAATTAATAAATAATAGAGGTAACTATAGTTCTCTATTATATATAAAGAAAAAAAGGATAATTATTATAGGTTAATTAGTTAAATAACTAACTTATTACCTATAAATCCTTAGAGAATCTATAGCTAAATATCTAAGGATTTACTAGTAATAAGTTATTAGGGTTAACCTAATAACTCTAATATTTATCTACAATAGTTAATATTATAACACTAGTAACTTTCTATAGTACTAGAAATCCCCTATTATTTATATCTAAAAGAATAGCTAAAAAATATAATAAAATAAGAAGCTAAAAAGTATTTAATACTTTTTACTTATATAGTCTATTATATATAAGAAACCTATTTATTTATCTATATCTTTAACTACCTATTATTAACTAGCTTCTTTAATATATTATTTAGTAATAACTTTATAAATCTATTTACTAAGTTATTACTACTATAAATCTACTATATCTTATAAATCTTATAGTGTTTATATAACTAGTAAAAGGCTATAATATCTATTATAAGTTACTTCTCCTTTATAGTACTAAGCTTTATAAGGTACTTATAAAGTAAGTATAAGTTAGTATAGAGTATTATAGGTATTTATAGTAGCTTAAGGTAGTTAGTAATTATTATAAGGATAATACTAATTATATAGGTAACATTAGCGCTAGTAATTATCCTATAGACCTTAGAGGTAAGTACACTATATATAACTTTTTATACTTTATTAAGCTAAAGTAAATAATATTACTAGTTAATTTAAAGCTTTTACTATTAGTAGTAGGTTACTTAATAATTTATTTATTAGTAAAAACTATAATAAAGCTAAGTTAAAAGGTAAAGTTATAGTTATTTATAAATAAGCTATTAATAAATATAAAAAGCTTAGTAGTTATAAGGTTAATTAGTAAGAATTATAGGCTATAGTTAAGGTTATTAATTTACTATTTAATTTAGTAGTTTAAAGCTTTAATCTCTTCTACTATAGGTAATTAGTGTTAAGCAGTAACTAAATAGTTAAAGTAAGCTTTAGGTTAATAAATAAAAGTAATATATATACTATAGGTGTATTACTAGACATAATCTTACTAAGTAGTAGGTAATTTCTTATTAATAAGTTAAAGCTTTTTACCTTAGCCTTTCTAGTAAAAGGTAAGCTTACTATTAGTAATAATAGATAATATACTACTATTAAAGGTAATAAAGTTATTAGCTATAAGTAACTACTTAGGTTTTACTATAAAAGTAGCCTTTTTAAGCTTCTTTTCTTTATAAGTAAAGAATTTACTATCTATAAGGCTAATTATATTATCTATTTATATACTAATTAATCTAAAGTTACTATTATTAGGTAATAATATTAATAAGTAAAGGTTAAAGGTTAATAAATTTATCTAGAGATTCTTTTTATAATAGTAGTTATAAGTTACTTACTAGTAGGTTTCTACCTCTATAATACTATATAATAGCTTAGTTACTATTATTATTATATTTACTAGGTAAAGATAGTAGATTTATATAGGCAAGTAAGTAAAAATAATATAATTTAGTAGTATTACTAATTAGGTATACGCCTAGGTAATATTATATAACTAGAGAAGAAATCTATATTAAAGTAGTAAAAAGGTAAAGGTAAAGATTAATTACTAGGCTATTTACTAGATAATAGGTAACTATATAAGAATTATTTCTTTATTATTATCTATATAGCCTTAGATAATAAGCTATAATTTCTTATAAGGCTACTTGTTTTTACCTTTTACTTTATAGACTATATATAATTTAAATATATAGGTATTACTATAGGATTTCTTATTATAGGTAATAATATAAAATATACTATAGTTAATAAAGGCTTTTACTTTTACCTTATTAGATTCTTTAAAAGGTTTACTAGGTGTAGTAATAATCCCTTTTTTATATAGCTTAATAGTAAGTGTATAGTCTACCTCCTCTTTTATAGTTAAGAACACAATAGTTATAGTAAAGTGTATTTCTATAAAGAATATAAGTATTAGGTTCTTTTATAAGTAACTATAGTATTATTATAGTAGTTTATTATTAATAATAATAGTATTATATACTTTCTCTTTAGTGTTAGGTATCTCTATAGGGTCTTTTTATACTTATATAGTATATATAGGACTATTTTCTACTTATATAAAGTAGCTAGTAGGTTTATCTAGTATAAGGAGGTCTAGTTAACCTTCCTCTGTATAATAAGGTTTTACTATAGTAATCCTAAAGTTATATAGGCTATAAAGTAAATTAATAGTATAAGTAGTACTATTATTAATAATAAGGTAAAATAGGCCTTATTATCTATATTTCTTATACTATATATAGACAAGGAATTAAAGGGGTAAAGTAATAGTATTAGTTAAATCTAGGCTATTATATATAGTTAGTATTTCCTATAGCTATTATTTTATATAGATCTAGTGTACTATATTTATTACTTTCTTAATAGCTTTAGTGTACTATATAGTAGTTATAGTAAGTAGTAACTTATTAGTTATTTAGGAGTATACACTAAAAACAAGAAAAGTTAAGATAAGGCTATCTAGGCTAATAGTAT